AAAGGAGAGGAAGGGGAAAAAAAATGTTCGAGAGAGACGCATAAATCAGAGAGACGAGCCAGCTTCTCTCCAGCACGGCTGACTGAGCCCTGCTGTTGTGCTGCACCCCGTGTATGTGCGTGTGTGAGCGAGCGAGAGAGAAAAACAGCCGCCGCCACTGCTAACCACAGTCACCACGGCACATTAGAGGGCCATTAGAACACGATTATACTCCCAGTGCTTACCTCTCATTCACACTCTTGCTCTCTCCACTCTGACTCACACACATAATCATACACACACACACACACACACACACACACACCTCGCCATCATAAAATTGCACAACACACACACACACACACACACACACACACACACAACCATAAAGCAACCGGTTAATGAGCAACAAAAGATACCCACACCTATTTACAGTTCTGTGAAGATACCTCTGCTGGTGATAAAAATGATCACACACATACACACACAAAGGCGGCATCACAGAGACAGGCTGGACACGCACGGCACAAACCAACGCTCAAGTGGCATTAAAACCGCTTGAATCAATAAATCAATTTGTAAAATCTGTCAACAAGAGGGTGGGGGGCATTTAGGCTCATGAACAGAAACAAGGGATGAGAGAGAACAAGACAGCAGGCAACTTTAATTAAAAGCTTTCAGGGCAATAGGAGTTGAGAGACTGAATGGAATAAACAAGTCTCATTCTTGTATGTGCGGAGACCGAGAGGATCAGATTCAGGAGCGAACGAACAGCAGCGACACAAAGAATAAAAAAAAAAAAAAAAAAAAAGAAAGAATATAAGAGTGTTAACATCCTTACATAATACCAGTGATATATTGAGGAAGGATTACAAAATATACAGCACACCCACAATAGTCCATGTAATTAATCATTGAGCCTGTTCTTGCGTATATCTTGATTGATACATATCTTTATATTTACAGTTAAAACTCCTTAATTCTATTACTATTTCTATGTCCACACTTAAAATTATTCCATAGTTTTACACTACTTATGAAAATACAAAATCTTTTTGGTTGTAGGTATAGCATGAATTTTTAAAAAATTTAACTGATCCTTTAAATTCTATCTACTTTCCTTTCAATAAATATTTTTTT